CCACCCGCTGGTGCTGGGAAATCAGGTGGTTTAGTGGCGTTGCTGTTCCAGGCAAAGTTAGGATGCTGGCGCCACCCCTCATTGTATGTATTGCTATATGGGTCAAGGCGCCGAGCATTGGCGATGAAGTCCACCTGCTCTTGGGGAGTAGAGGACTCCCGCATAGCCTGGCAGTCCTCCACCAGATGATTAGGGCTCTCACACCACTGACATTGAGCTACTGGAGGCGTAGCCAAACCTCGGCCCGGAATAAGACTGTTGGGCTGCTTCAAAGTCTGCACCAACTCAGCCACCTACTGCTCTAGCCCGGACCTGGCCTCCATGGCGTGCACACCACGATCCCCGGAGTTTCTGCCTCTGTTGCTCTGCCCCCCAGGAATGATCTCTGGCAGCCAAGGTACTGATCATCTGGTTTAGTTCGGGTGGAGTCTTAGTGAGAATGTACCCTCCTGGGCATAGAGACTCAATCACCCTCTGGCTGTCCGGAGAGAGAGCACTATAGAAGTTCCCCACTGTGAATGCATCACTGAAGCCATGATGGGGGCACTGCCAGAAATATCCCATGTACCGCTCCCATGCATCACGAAGTGACTCATCTGGCTCTTGGCGGAAGTGAGTAATCTCCCGGTAAATCTCTGTGGTCTTCGATGCTGGATAGTACCTGTGCACGAACTTATCAGCCAGATCGTCCCAAGAAGTGATGGACAATGGGGGCTGGGTCTCCAACCACCTCTTAGCATTCTCTGCCAGAGAATGGGGGAAGAGGTGAAGGCGGATTGCGTCATCAGGGAAACCGTTTAGCTTGAACCTGTTCGTCAGCTGCAGAAAACGGGAAAGGCGCACCCTTGCCTCCTCATCCTTCAAGCTATGGAACTGGATAGAGGATGTAATGAGTTGAATCCATCATGGCTTGATCTCGAAGTTGTTCGCTGGAATGGGCAGATAGAGGATGACCGGGCGGATGTCAGCAATCCGTGGAGTGTAGTAGTACTCCAAGGTGGGACCCGGCGGCGGTGGATGATGATGAACCCCATCTGCCTGGGGTATGGGGTTGTTCCCCAAGAGCTGATTCACCGGGGGAACCTGGAGAGGATTCCCCGGGGGTGGGTTGTGTTCTCCTTCCATCACGTACTCGTCCTCGGACTCGCTACTCAAATGGCCGTCTATGCGCTCTTCCGTAGCCAGTCTAGCTCGCTGTTGTCTCCTAAGCTAGCGGCAGGTGCGTTCAAGCTCTGGATCCAATGGCAGTAAACCTCCCGACTGGCTACGGGTCATGCACTGTCTGCACACACTCAAGCAATGCAAATCCGTGAAGGCACAAGTGGGAAAGAACAAACAATCAATACAATAATGAAAATGCTAAAGTAACAGAAATCACTTTTCTCCAACAACCTAGCCGTCCCCGGCAACGGCGCAAAAAACTTGACTCACTCCTACTGTCGCTCTAGAAATTGGCCAAGTGTAACCACTTCCTAAAGCGTAGTATAGCTGGTTTGGGTTTTAATGTCAACCCGGGTCCTAGATTTGATGACTACTCGGTGAATTCTTGTTATCTCGCAGTGAAACTTTAGTGCAAGTCCAAATTAACAAACAAACAAAGCAAGTTAAACGGTTGTTTTCAAGTCGAGAGAGGTCACCCGGATATGGTTCCCCCTAGACTGCAGTTGAGCCGGATTGCAATTTACCAAGTATAGTTTTCATGAAAGATACCGCGGAAGGTTCTTAAACAGTCTGAAGTCTCGACTAAAGGTCTCCAGACCCTCTCAATCTGAGTCTCCAGTGGGCGACTAACCTCCACCGGAGTAAACAGATTGAGGCCCTAACGAACCAAACCTCCACTACCGAAGTAAATTCGGTACAGAATAGTGAATTGGCTCCTCGACTAAAGTCGCCAATTCACTACCTTCCATTAAGGGTACTCTATCAACCTAGGCAGATATTCTCTTTCTAGGTTAAAGCAGAAACAACAGGAATTTGATCAGGATTCAAGTCATTCAATCATTCAAGCCTCAATCGAATATAATCAAATCATAAAATCTGTACTTGAGTTCATACAATCAGACCTAACATACAAATCTAGGGTTCTCCATACCCAGATGAATGGGGAAACTACTCCATGGAGAGAGAAGCAAAAGAAGATTCAGATGCGGACATCATACTATGAAGGATGAGTTTCTGCTCTTGGTTGTCAATCAACACTTCTCCAAACTCAAGCCGGGCTCCAATGGTGATGAAGATCAAGCTATGGCACTTGGGAACTCTGGTTCGTCGCTTTCTCTCTCTAGGAATCGCTCTGTCTCTCTAAAACTCGGAACCCCCTTCTCCTTTGGCTCAAATCTGCCTAAAAACCCGATTCTGGGCGAAATACGGGCAGAATTACGGTCGTAATCTTGGTCTGCCCGTAAATCGCCCAAAACGCGCGTTTCACTTTACTCTGATGGGGGTGGAATTACAACCGTAATATATAGATTACCGCCAGTATTTACTCAATTACGGTCGTAATTTGTGGGACACTTGCCCGTAATTCCATTGTCGAGAGGAATTCTGGGGAAATTAGGCTCGGCATTGCTTTTACGGGCATGCCTGGACCAATTACGCCCGTAATTTGGCAGGGGCTGCCCGTAATTTGCTCTGTGAATCGCCACCTGACCTTCAAATGACCCGAAACTTGCGCCTATGCACCTCTTTACTTGCTAGGACCTGAAATACGACAAAACAACACAACCTAGCGTAAAATAGGCCAAGGAACAATCAATTCGAGCTAAAATGGTCAGGAAACAAGAGTGAAAACATGTGCAAATACGACGCTATCAGTCACATCATGATCTTACCACTATGGTAGACTGACTGCACATCATACCACTTTCATATAATGATAGTATCATGAGTTATATGATGTCATTAAATTATTTTCTCAAATACATGACTTCATAGTGATAGATTGATAGTATCATGATACGACAATGATATGATGTTATTAAATTATTTTGTCAAACATAAGACCTCACACCAACATCATATCATTGTCATACCAACATAATATAACTATCGTACCAAAGCCATACCACTATTTGTGGTAATATCGTGATATGATAGTGGAATGATGACCCAAAATTTTTTTGTTCAATAAAATATCGAAATGGGCATTATCTTGTAGAGCAAAAAAAAAAAAAAATCTAACATTTTCTAGATAAAAATGTTTGAAATATGATGTACAACAAATAAGATATTGTGTGTTGAAAATTTGTAAGAGATTTAAAAAGTGCATTAACTGCCGCCTAAAGATTTGTGTCAACTCACAAAAAATCGGTTAGCTACCTGAAAAATCCAATAAGCTCTCTTCTAATCTCTTATTTCGCTCATTACCCTTTTATAATATGGAACCAATAAATTTCTCATTCCCAAATTACATCATTTAGATATGATTTTTTTTTATCACCCAGGAAACTCAGTCTCACCTGCCACTTTTTGTTACAGTGGGGCCTACTAAATATGGGGGCCACCTGCAATCAATTCGACACCAACAGTGCTTCGCCCTTAGCAGCCTCATATCTTCGGGAATATCAACAAGCCTCGCTTGAATCTAGGGGTGGCAGTTCGGTTATTTCGGTTATAATCGGTAACCGATTGGCCGGTTATCGGTTAACCAAAATAACCACTCCCCCTATCGAAAACCGCCCGAAATAGGCTTGGGTTTCTCGATTATCTCTGTTATCGGTTAACCGAACCAATTTTAAGACAAAAAACCATTTCGTCCAGCCTCCGATAACCGACCGAAGTTCGGTTACTTCGGTTACCGGTTAGTGGATAATCGGCCGGTTATTGGTTTAACCGGTCGGTTAACCGATAATCGGTAACCGAACTGCCACCCCTACTTGAATCGAACTTGGGATCTCTTATTTCCCTCATTACCCTTTGATAATATGGACCAATAAATTTCTCATTTTCAAATTGGGTTAATTACATGGCTAGTCACTGAGATTATAAAAACGTTCATGTTTGGTCACCCAAAATATTTAATTCCATTGGTGGTCCTTGAGTTTAGTAAAACCGTTCATGTTTGGTCACTTTTCGTTAGTCGCCGTCCATCTGCGTCAGCGAAGTCCTTTAAGTGATGACGAGGTGGACGGGATTGTCTAATCAGCCTTATTTAACACGAAAATGGCGAGACCCAAGCCGACCCGCCATGTCACTGAGACCCTCCAGGACTAATCCAAGCCTCTAACCAGACCCGACCCACACAAATTAAATCCCTAATTTCTAAAACAGATCAGATTGGGAGGAAGGAAAAAGACGCACGATCGAAGAGGGGGGAAGGTGGAGATCTGATCTATTTTAGAAATTAAGACTTTAATTTGTGTGGGTCGGTTCAAAGGTTGGGTTGGGTCTGGTCTGGTTAGAGGGTTGGGTTGGTCCAGATGATCTGGTGGGTCGGGTCTCCCCATTTTCGAGTTAAATAAGGGTGTGGTTATACGATTCCGTCCGCCACATTATCACTTAACGGACTCTATTGACGGAGATGGACGGCAACTAACGGAGAGTGACCACACGTGAACGGTTTTACTTAACTAAAGGACAACCAATGGATTTAAATATTTCGGATGATCAAAGATGAACATTTTTTTATAATTTCAATGACGAACTATCTAATTAACCCTTCCCAAATTACATCATTTAGATATGATTTTACATTACTACGCGATAAATTTGTACTATGATATATTCCTTACTATATTGCTTTAAAAAAGTCCAAAATCAGTCATAAATTTTCATATTTTTCGTGTGTTACTGTGGGGGAAGGCAAGGGTCTGACTGCGGGCTGGGAATGGGAAGGAAAGGCAAGGAGAAGTTTGGGCCAGCATTTATGGCGTCATCACATTCACCATTAATACCCCCTCATCAATTTCACCCGCACCCTTACCATTTCACCTCACACAATTTGCGAGGAATATTTCCCTCTCACTCTCTCTCTCTCTCTCTCTCTCTCTCTCTCTCTCTCTCTCAAATCTGTGTTTCAAATAATTGTTTCTTACCTTCCCCAAAAACTCTCCCTAGCTAAAGCTAAAACCCTTCTCCCACAGAAAACCCGAAAAATAGCAGAGTCGAGACCACAGCAGCGGCAAGAAAAAGCTTTCGTGTGCGACGGCTGATCAGATTCCGACGATGAGCGGAGCCTGGAAAGGGACAGTCGGGGCGGTGGATACCATCTATGAAGAGGAAGACCACGATGTTAACGACGACAAATGCTCCTCTCTCCCTTCTTCCACTTCTTCTCCGAATTCAAAACTGGCTTCTCCGTCCCATCCTCGGCGTGATCTCAACCTTCACTCCAGAGTCCAGTCCTGGTAATTCATTTCTCTCTCTCGTTCCCGGCCGAGATGTCTTCTTTGTGTTCGATTTCTCTCAATCCCGAACAAATTCAAATTCCGATTACTGCTATTTTAGTTAGTTTTTGGTTTGTTATGTTCGTTTGAATTTGATCTTGTGTATCCTGATTATATGCAAAAAAAAATTTGAATTAGGTCGATGACCACGGGAGAGAAAGCGGACGTCTCAATATATGTACAAGGAACTTGTTTCAATCTCCATAAGGTTGGTGTTTGCCCCTCATTGTTGATTAATGGAGCAAATCACAACATAATGATGATAATCTCAATCTTCACCCTAGCGTTATGTTATTGTTCAATAAACGCGTGGTAAAATTTTGTAAATAAAATGTCGCGCTTTATTTATGAACGAACGGCTATAGACGCTATAAGCACTTTACGCGAATTTCATAACCTCAGCTTGTGATTTGTAACGTCAACAAAGAGCATTTAACCGAGGAGTAAACTTGAAATTAACCGTTCATTTTTTGTTTTGTTTTTAATTTGGTGGCTTAATTTGTTCCTCTAGGGTCCCCTGACTTCGAGGAGCAGCTACTTCCGCCGCCAATTGAAGGAGCTCTCTCGAGTGACGCTCCCGTTAAACATAACGGCCGAGACCTTCACCCTCGTCGCGGAATTCTGTTACGGCGCCCATCTCGCCATCACGCCGTTCAACCTCGCCTCGCTCCGAACCGCCGCCGAGCTCCTCGGCATGACGGCCGTCGACTGCCGATTCCACCACAACCTCGCCGAGCTCACCGAATCCTACTTCGATCGCGTCGTCGCCGCCAATCGCCCGCTCGCCCTCATCGTCCTCAAGGCCTCCATCCGCCTCCTCCCGGAATCGGAAACAGCCGCCGGCCTCGTCACCCGATGCGTCGAATCCCTAGATCTGGACAGCGGCGGCGACATGAACGACCTGGCCGACGACATTTTGCAGCTCCGGGCGGCCGAATTCCTGATCGTCGCCGAGTCGATCCAGTGCCAGATCCACTGCCACGACGAGCTCTACCTGCTGGTGGATCTGTACATCCGGAACCGCGGCCGCGAGATGAGCGAGGAAGAGAAGACCGAGATCTGCAATTGCGTCGACTGCGACAAGCTCTCGCCGCAGCTCCTCGTCCACGCCGTCCAGAACCACCGGCTCCCCCTGCGGTTCATCGTCCGGGCGATGCTGATCGAGCAATTGAACACCCGGCGCGCGATTTTCGCCACCAAGACAGGGGAGGAGAAATCGGACAGAGCGCCGAGTACCGGCGGCGGCGGCGGCGTGACGCTGGGGACCCTCCTCCGGCAGGGCGCGGCGGCTCGAGAGGCGGGGAAGATTAAGGAGGAGATGGAGTCCACGAGTTTCAGGATACGAGGGCTGGAGAAGGAGATAGAGGGGATGAAGAAGCTGCTGATGAAATCGGAGGAGGACAAGACGGTTCTGGAGAAGCAATTGATGCTGGAGAGATGGGCCATGGGGGCAGGGGAGGAGATCGGGAGCGCGGTGGTTAGGGATGGGGATTGTCGGTCGGCGAGCTTCCATTACGGCGGGAAGGAGAGGAATCGGGTGCAGAGAGGGGAGAGAGGGTCGAGCTCTTTTGCTGCGGGTTCTCGGGGCCGGGTGGAGAGAGAAGGGAAGAAGAAGAAGGGCAGTGGGAAGGGAATGGGGATTATAGAGAAGCTGAAGAGCAAATTTCAGGGGTTTCAGTTGATTGGGTCGGAGTGCCGGCCGCAGGGAAGGTTTTCTGGCGGCGAGAAAGGTAACGGAGATGGGAAAGGCGAGGTGGATGGACAGACGATTAAGGTTGCTAATTCTCACAAGAGGACCCAATCTCTGGCGTAGGTTGATGGATCGATCGTTAAGAGATTAATGATTTAGTTTTACATTAAGAGTAGCTTAAATTTGTTTAGTTTTGGATTAAAAGACAGGTGAAGTCGCCGGCCGTCTAAGTTTGAAATACATGCAGGATCGGTTTCCACTTATTTTCTTAGATTTTTTTTTAAGGGTGAGACATAAGGCTCAAGTTAGGTTATGCACCCATTAATAACCAAATCTGGACCCTTCATTTAGAAAATCCAGATCTAAGGATGAAGAATTAAAGACCATTTTTATTTTCACTAGCTTTCTTAATTGACTCATATATTTTTTGTTTTAACTCGGATTTTAATTTTTTTTGCACAGATGGAACGAGTTCATCGTGCTCTACAAAATGAGATCAATTTTCAATATTTTTTGAGGAAAAAAAAAATTATGTCCTCTCGGTACCAATTGCATACCATATGGTATCTTCTTCATTTTTAATTCGTTTTTGAAAACGTTTGCACAGCAGGGACGAGTTCATCATGCTCTATTGAATCTACAAATTTCTGGGTGAACAAATTACAAGACAAAAAAATACCAAACAATACCATACAATACCACCCTGGTACGGGGTGGTATCATATGGTATACAATGTTAAAAGTCGTAAATGACAATTAATATACTTCTACTATCATGTATTCAACCATCCTACAGTTTTGGTTTGTGTCATACCACCATGGTACGCTTTTCAAACCATAGGTATGGTCTTATTTCAATACCAGTCAATACCATATGGTATACACTGGTAAAAAATGACTCTATTTTTTTTGTTCGAAAAATATATCAAAGTGGATATCATTTTGAAGAGCACAATTAATCTGATCTAACTGTGCAAAAAAATTAAATTTCGACCTAAAACGAGTGAGAAATCGTCCGTCAAAGATTAAAGAGGGGAATTAAAGGCTTTCCAGGAGAGAGAAGATGTTGATGTCATGGTGATGTGGGCGGGTTACTCATAGTTACTCACCATAATGTTACTGACCTGATCCGTTCTCGAGACATAAGGTTGTTTTTTAATATTAGAGCCTATTTTAGGAATTCAAGCCTAAAATTTATAGGTTGAAGATCAGTGGTTCTTTTTTATTTATTTAAAATTTCATTGGATAACTATTGTATGAGTGCATGACTACTAGTAGTCTAGCACCCCTAATTTCGAACAAATTAAACCAGTATGTCACATATAGATGTCAATCAACTTGTAAACATATTGATATTTGGACTAAAATAATTTATCAGCCAAATCTTTTATTTTTTTGTACAAAATAATAAATTCTAAAATGCAAAATATAGTCAATGGTAAAATATAGTCTAGTTCGTATTAATCGTGTTAATGTAGATGTTGACATGGATGCTGCATTTTGACATATAAGCAAACGTATTCTCAGTTATTATGACATGTCAACATTGTTTAAAGATTTTTATAAATTATAAATAGTTCTAATTTTTTACTCGTCGTTTCCATAGCCAGATAGCCATCCACCCATCGTGACCCTCTCCATCCCACCTACGACCAACAACCATTACCAAACCCCGCACTTCGAAGGGATAAAGAAGTCAAAAATCGATCGAGCAAAAAAATGTCAACATCACCACCACCAATCTGTTCTAACCCCTTTCCAGCCCTTAGTCAAGTGAGCTTAGGGCATATGAAAAACTACTAGCAACATATTAGAGGCAAACTTCAGGCGAACTTCCACAAAGAAGAAGAATATTCATTCTATTGGATTTGAAATTCTGAAATTCAAACATGACAAAGCTCTATATCTAAATCACCTAAGATCATTTGTAGACAAAATTGCTAATCTCGAGATCCTCTTAAATCTAGATCCCTCCACTCCTCTCACAAAGTTCAGTTATTCCAACTAGTTTAATGAACATAATCTAAGACCATCCAAATGCAATGATGATACTCATTATTTTACAAATCAATGGATCTTATTGATGCGTGAATTGTAAATAGCTGAATCCAAACAAGTGTGACTTAGTAGTCGACAAATTGGTACTCTCGTTCTTCAATCAAATCCACATATCTTTCTTGTTTCTTATTCCACTTCCTACATTCCAGCCCCCTTAGGGTTTTGCTCGTCCTCATCATTGAAAAATCCCCACAGAGAGAAGGAGGACGACCTTTTTCTAAACCCCACAATTGAGCAGCGAAAATCCTCATGTTATCTTTCAACCATTACAACAATCACAAACAGTTTGGTGAATTCTAGAAGGGTTAATGTCGGAGTGGAGGTAATCGCCCCCTTCAGCTCCTGGAAAGCCGCATTTGCAATTGGGCCCCACTAGAACCAACCTTTCTTCAAAAGGCCAGTCAGAGGTCGTGCAATGATATTGTACCTCAGCACAAACTTCATGTAATAACCAATCAAGCCTAAAAATCCGCTTAACTCATTCACATTCTTCGTCGCTAGCCAATCCAACATAGCACGTAACTTAGGCTGATCCACTCGAACCCCTTTGTGTGACACAATGTGTCCCATGTACTCCACCTCCCTGACACTAGATGCACACTTAGATGACTTCACATAGTACTGGTGTCGCCTCATGACCTCGAAAAACCTCATGTAAGTGGCGAACATTATCCACTTAAGTCGAAGTACAGTAGATTAGAATACATCCAAAAAAGTTTAAGACATACTGACAACAGAAGGTATGAAAATATCATTCATGACAACCTGGAATGCAGATGAGGCTTTGTACAACCCGAATGATATGACTAGATACTCGTAGTGGCCATTGTGCGTTCAAAAATGTTGTCTTGTGCACATACTCCTCGTGCATCCTAATTTGGTGGTCCACTTGCAGATCTAGTTTCTTGAAGTATTAAAAGTTGTGTAGATTGTCTAGCAAGTCTTCGACTCTCGGGATTATAAACATATCCTTGATCGTGGCCTCATCGGCGGATCTAGGACATAATAGAGCACTAGACCAAATTTCATTAGAAAATTAGATATCGTAAAAAAATATGTATAACCATTGTTTTCTTTACAATGCCAATTTTACACGACGACCTTTTAATTTATCAACTTCATCAACAAAATAATCTTCATTCTTACCGATAACATACTCTCTTTCGAATAAAATAATTAAGTAATCAACGAGAAACTCATCACTCGTTTTATTGTGCAAATAAGTTTACACATATTTCATTATTGAAAAAGCTCTTTCCATAGAAGCCGTTGGAACAGGAAGCGTCAACACTAGATGAATCAATCGACTAATCGATTTCTATTCTGTGTCCATCCCTATTTCCACCCGCTTCTCTAGTAATTTTGCAAGAAAAAACCTCATATTTACTAGTCTTTTAACTTTCATTCTTTTTTTAAAATAAAATCATTGGGGCTAGAATTTCTAGACTAAATCTAGAGTAGTGATTTGAATATGTTCATCAAAATTTTTTTCTAATTACACACAATCTCAAATTCTTAATACAAAATAACACTGGGTCGAGTGTCTAAAATCGAAAAATTTATAAGTGTTATTCTAGCTCCGTATCAAGAGAAGGGCTGAGCCGTGGCCTAGGGTGGCCACCCCTTAGATCCGCCACTGCATGGCCTCTTTTAAGGTGCCATAGTCAGTGCAGAACCACCAAGTGTCATCCTTCTTCTTTACCGGTAATACCAAAGATGAAAATAGATTGATAATGGGAGGGTGGATTAACCCAGTCTTCAACATCTCTGCCACCTACTACTCAATCTTGGATGTCTGTGAATGACTATACCGATAAGGTATGATATTGACAACATCCATATCCTCTTAAAGCCGAATCTGATGATCCACCTATCGATGTGGGGGTAGCATCCCCGATTTCTCAAATAGATAGAGGTACTCATCTAAGACAACCTGGAGTTCTACATCAATATCCAGCTCTTCGATCAAAACAATTGGCCAGCACAGGATTGACAGTTTGTTGTGGTCCCCCCTTCATGCACTCTTTAATGGAAATGGGTCCTAGGGTCATTATGAACCCCTTCAGTGTCCAATCCTTATCCCTCCACTTAAAACACATAATAAGCTTCTTCCAATCACTTGTACCTTGTCCTAAGATTTTTAACCACGAAACCCCCTAACACAATCTCAAATCCCTTTAATGGTATCACAAAGAGATTATTGGTTGCCTCTAACCCTTGAATATGCATTATGATATTCCGATACACCCGATCGCACATCAAAGGGGCCCCATTGACTACCTTAACCACCACTAGCCCGATCCTGCTTGGCTCCAGTAGAAGGTTTCAAGCAAACCCTTATCAATTAAAGTTCATACATGCCCTGCTATCCACTAGGGTCATGGCCTGTGATCCTCTATAAGTCCTAAAATCTTAGAGTCATTGGTGAAGCGAGTTTCCACCATGGAATGAAAGGAGATGGTAGGTGGCCGCTCTGAACCCTCTCGAATATTCTCCTTTCATCGTGCAACTCACTTCCCTAGGCAAAATCTGTCCCTTCGTCACCCGTGCCCTCCGACAGTAGCAGCGGTTGGTCGTTGCCGGTGGCACAATTCTCACCCACCCATTCGTCGCTTCGGTAGTAATCGCCTGCCCTGGTTCATCCCGACCGAGGGCTCGCTCCATCCTTCCTTTCAATAACCTAGCCCATTCTGGGGTGGTGAGTTGTGAAGAATTCATCGTGGCTTTGATACCACTGTTAAAAATTGAGTGATCCGGGTCAAGAAATCAAGAAAGATGCAATTTGGGAATTAGGGACTGAGAGAATATATTAGGGATTGAGAAGAATTGTGGAAGAATTTGGGAAGAAGGGGGCCGAAGTTGAGAGAGAAAGAAAGAGATTTGAGATTGAGTTTTCAATATTATTCTATTCATAATCTCAATTAAAAATGCCAGAAGCTTTAAATAGGTGTTTCAATAAATAAATGCAAATAACAGAAATACCCCAACAAATCAGACTCTTGGCTTTAACTCTACCCATTGACAATGACTAGGTTTCTTTCAACATCTAGCAATTATGTTTGAATAACCTAGCAGGGTCATGAAATTTACTTAGTACCTTAGTGTCAAACCGGGCCGCTCAATTAGTACGATATTGTCCGTTTTGGGCCAAGCCCTCACGGTTCTACTCTTGGGTGTCCTCCCCAAAAGGCCTCGTACTAATGAGTTTGGTGGACACTAATATACAAGGGTTCCTTCCCTTGTATTACTGAT